CACGTTGCGGTCAACCCTCACCTTGGCCTGCTGACTGGACGAAGAGGGCGTCCCGTCATCATACTCCACCCCGCCGTCGTTGAGCATGCGCGGCATCGCGATGGCGCCCCCGGGGAAGTAAGGGTTATAGTACAGCCCCTCGCGCACCTGCGGTGACGTCATCGGCCGGGCGGGGTTGCGAAATATAGCGACGGGTGACGGTGTGGCGTGCAAGCGACACTTTGGAGGGCGCGTTTTGGGCGCCGCGAGGAGCGAGCATGGTGCGTTTGCCAGCTGTTGGTGTGGGGCCTCGAGGCTTGGCAAGCGCATGTGTGATGCCGCCAGAGGCTGCGGGCACCACATGTACACAAGCCAAAGCTGCGTAGCCAATCGCCGGACCACCACCACCAAACAGCGGCCAGCGCGGGCGCCGGCATCGCAGCAACAGCAGCAGAAGCTGCACGGCAGCGGCAGCAGCAGCAGCAGCAGCAGCAGCGGCGTCGGCGGCGTCGGCTGCATCTGCACACCGAGATGCCGGCCGGCGGCTCCTTGTAGCCGAGGAGCAGCGCGAAGACATAGTTGGTGCCGTTAGGGCGCGCTGTGCAGATCAGGGACAGGTCTGGGGGGTAGGCGCCGCCGTTGGAGTAGCGCGCGGCCTGGGGATTGGGGGAGGTGTGTGTGTGTGTATATGCAGGTGTGTGCGTGTGTGAAAATGTGTGAGCGTGTGCGTGTGTGTGTGTACCGTATATGAGAGGAGAGAGAGAGAGAGGGCAAAGAGGTGAGAGTGAAAAAGAGCACATGCAGGGACACTTGTGTGTCGGGCGTGAGCACATGCACAACCACACAGGGGCGTGTGACGCGCACGAGCGGGACGGTGCTGCCAAGGCGCCCGGAAGGGGCCAACGTCGCAGCGCAACAACACACGGCGCCGCGCGCCCCGACCGCGCAGCAACCCCTCCATTTCCATGCAGGCGCCGCGAGCGCCGCTCGGAAAAACCCTGTCAAACCGCAGCCGCCCGTTCCGGCGGCGGCATGGGCGGGGCCCCCCACCTGCTCGTTGGCATAGGGTGCAGGCAGGCCGTCCGACAGGCGGCCGGGCCGCTCGTACATCTCCCCCTCATCGTTGGGGCCGTCAATAACCTCCTCCTGTCAGATATATTTGCATGGTTGGCGGTTAGCAGTTGACGGGTGGTTTTGATTTGGGGGAACGTGCTCCAGGGCCAGGAGGGTCAATGATGCTGTGTTTGACCCACGGTTGACCGACGCCTGACCGGCGGTCGGCGACCAAGAGAGTGTGCGGTTGGGGCCAACCATTACAAAAGGCTGACAGCCAGCTTGGCGGCCGCCGAGGCCGCGGCTGCCCTGCCCTTGTGATGCTTGACGCGGGGGCAAGTCAAGGCGACCAAGCTCCCGGCGTACCGCAGACAACCAGGCTGCTGCGCAGGCACGGCCCCCTCCGCCTCGCGGCCCCACACGACCCACTGCTGCCGCCGCTTTAGCAAGCTGCATTGCAGCCCCATGCTGCCAACCTTGTGAACATCAACCTCACCGGTCAGCCCCCCAGCAGCCCCCGCTTCCGCTCATTCCACAAACCCTGCTGGCCAACACCCTCCACGTTCCCCACAGTCTCACAATAGCAAAATCCATCCCCAAATGCCACCCCAATGGCCCAAGCTGCCCCCTCCAGATCGCTCAGATCACTCAGATCGCAGCTGCCGCCCCTCACCTCGGCCGCCATGGCCTTGGCCTCCTCCTCGGTGTATGCGACGCCCACCAGATCACGGAAATGGATGTACTGCATGCTATGGCATGCTGCGCACACCTGCTCATGCGAAAGAGCGCGCACCAATGCCAGGTCAGCGCTGTTCGCGCGGCTGCAAGCCACCGCCACCACCGCCTGTTCGTCCGATGGCCGCCGCTGCTGCCACCGCGGGCTGTCTGTGGTCCCACCTCAACATTTGTGCCTGCGGCTGCTCACGCCGCCGGCGCTTGCATGCTACGGTATCAGGCGGCGAGCCATGTACCATGCGCACGGCACGCCTGATGGGCACAGCCCCTGATCCCGTTTTTGGAGGCTTGCTGTTGTTGCAGCAGCCAACCACGCACGTGGCGCATGTGGCCCACTTGGTGTTCAAAATATCCTGGACGCAAGATTGAATGGTTCGCCCCTGGCCAGTCTCACCTGCTTGTACACCTGATAGCCCCGCCGGATGGATGCATGGTCATACGAGTCCAGCAGGCCGCTATGGGACCACGGCCAGCTGCCGGCGTCGAGGCCATGCTCGCCCTCGTGGTCGGCCGCGGCGGCGGTCGTCATCGCAGCAAGCCCCGCCGCCGCGCCGAGCGCGCCCGCCGCCCAGCGCGCCCACGGCGCGGCCTGCTCGCCGGCTGCAGCTGATGTGCTGGCGTTGCGCGATCCGGCCTGGGCTGCAAGGGCGGGCTGGACCTGCGTGTGCAATTTCAACCGGTGCAAACCCCATGCCGTGAGCGTGATCTGCCCTGGACTTCCGACAACTTGGTGAAATAGGATGCATACGCCTGTACAGCTGTCACAGAGCGCCCATGAGGGTCCAACAAGCGAGCGACTATGACGTTCGGTGTGCAGTCCCAGATCTGCGTCCATGATGCGACTCACCTTAAGCGACGCATTATTCGCTCGCGAAGCCGCTGCTGCTTGCCTGAGGCACCGCAGCAGCAGCGCCGAGGACCGCATCGTGCCCGGCACTGCTTGCGACCAGCTAGGTATCAACGTAGTATCTACCTTGAACAGATAAGAAGATTGCACGTCTCGCTTTTGAACCGACACCTCTGTGCCATGTGCCGCAAAGCAGTGCGGCGAGTCGTGAAACCGCCGCGGCCTGCCTGCACGCGTGTGTGGCGGGGACAGCCGCCGCCCACCCTGACGGGCTTCGAGCCTTTGGGATAAGGAATCGCGCGCGCATTTCAGCCTCAAACTGTGCACGTGGGCAACGGCGGAGGCATGCTGGACGAGCTTGTGACGCTGCCACTTGGAACAACAGTTCCAACCAACAGGGGTGTGCAAATCGCGACATGACCTGGCACGGCCCGAGCCAGGCTGTACATCGTTGCTTACGAATCATACATTTGTTTCTCCAGCCAATTGAGAACGCAACGGCAACAGGACGGCCCTCCTTACAGCGCACGCCGGCCCAGATTGAAGAGAGGTGCGGGTGCAGCACTGATGAAACCGCTGATCGACGTTGTGTGGCAGGAACGTCGATCTCGCATGTGCAACTGTTACAGGTGTAAGATTCTCCAGAGGCGCATGCATCGCGGCTTTGAGTGGTCCCCAGAAGGGGGTCGGACGGGGGCCGCCTGAGTACTGTATTGCGCTTATGTTGTGACAAGATAAGGGCGGCATGTGTTGGGTTGCCACACAGGGTTGTCCGCGGCCTGGATCGTATGTATCTGGCCTGTAATGCGCGTGAGAGCGGAAAACAGTCTAGTGATAAGGTCAATCAACCTGCAAACTACAGATATGCACACGCGCAGTCTGCATGCGGTGCTGGATACCAGATCCTGCCCTCGCCTCACAACCACACGGCAGCTGGCCCCAGCAGGTGCATGGGCAGCCGCCGAGTCAAACACATAGGATGCTGTGTCTGTATGAAGCTCACTCGGTGTATGTCAAAACATGTCGACAACATAAACCGTTCTTGCTAGCGTGTGTGCAGGAAGACTGCGAAGGCAAGTGTAACTCAAAACTTGAAACTGGATCACCCCGCCCGCGGCGCCGGCGTGCGCCGCGCTCACGCCCCGCCCAGCCGCATCGCGTTGGTGGCGCGCCGCCGCTGCGCGTTGGAAGTCGGCGGGAAGCCGCGACAGTAGCTGTACCCCTCCAGAGGGGGGTCCGCCAGCAGGCAGCTGTTGTGCGTGTTGTCCGCGACCCATTGGCTGCGCGTCCAGCGGGCAGGGGGTGGTAGCACGTGGGCGGGTGGGTGGGGGACAGGGCAGAAATGATTCGGCAGCGGTGGCGGGTGGAGATGATGCAGTCGCAAACTGGGGTCTGTTTGCGCATGAGACGCCGGCAGCAACCGCCACAGACAGCCCGCCATGTGCAGGCTACCACCGGCCCACCCGCCCGCCACTGGCCGCCGCCTGCAACGCGGCCGCGCCCCCAGTGCCAATTTGCGCAGCCGCCATTCACGCCACGCACGGCAGGCCGCCAGGCCGTTGACCGAGGATGCACCACCCGCCGCCCCCAGATCATCAACAGTCCGAGGCACCAAGCTCGCACCTCGCGAAGCAGGCATAGGAGCAGGTGTGGGCGGCGTGGGGGAGGTCCCCCCAGACCGGAACGTGCATCTCAGTCCGCTTCCAGGAGTCCCGCTGGACTGGCAGCTCGGCGGGCGTGAACTCAACAGTGCCCGCGATGTGCTGGTAGCTGGGGGGGCGGGCAGGTGGAGGGGTGGGGTAAGGGAATGAGGGCCGGGAAGGGTAGGTGCAGCTCGAAACGGGCAGCAGAGCAGTGGGAGTGCCTGCGGCTTCGCTGATGCGTCGGCTTCCGCTGCGAAGCCCAAACATGTGGTCCCTTTAAGCTTGGCTGTCACGCCCTGTGCACCCAAACGCAACACCAGCACTGCGCGCCGTGCGCGGCACCAGCACTGCACATGGACCAAACAGCACACGAGCCTTCCACCCTCACAACCCCAGATCCCTCACAGCAAACAAATTGCGTATATCTGAGATCCTGGTCCTGGCCTGTCTCCGTGATGGCGCAATGTCAGGGCGTCGGCCAGCCGCAAAAAAAAGCTAAACCCTAAGCCCCAAACCTCTACTCGGATGCCACACACGCAAATCTTGACCAGCCACGCAGCAAGCCGCCAGCCCTTGCTCCCTATCCAACCACAACACCACACCGCTCCTAATGACGCGCCCACTTGGTCCACAACGCCCGCCCTCAGGCCGTCAATTAGTTGAAATCCGTAAGAAAAATTACTGTAAAAACCCTCAGCTCACTCGTCCCAGAAGTAGACGCGGTCCCCAAACACGTCCCGCCCCGTCGGTATCGGCGCGAGCGGGCAGGCCGGCATCGAGGCCAGCCGGCTGTTGCGGGGGCTGGCGCAGGGGATGGTCGTCACCACGTCGTTTGTGAACGCCACGCGGCGCGAGTTCACGCCGATGGAGCGCATGGAGTCGCGGAAGGCGGTGTCGCCGACTGTTTTTGGGTGGGGGTGGGGG